CAGAATCACAAAATGGTCCAGCAGCATTGACAACTACTTTTGCATATGTATCAAACTCCTTGCCTGCACACTTTAAAAAGTAAGATCTCTAAGAGCAAGTCGATGACATTGGCTAATTGGTACAGGATGAAAATATTGAGACCTGAGAGTACACAGAGGAATGAGTACAAGAGGGGAAGGAAATTTTTTTAAAAAAATTAGTAAATGCAATGAGAAAAATATGCTTTTTTATGTTTTACGCAATGGGTTAAGAGAGAGAGTTGGATTATGAACCAGTGTTTTTACTCAAATAAGTAGTCTCATGAACTGCAACTCATAAAGAAACACAATTTACAAGGAAAACTGTACAATGCTGAGATGCTGTAAGCGAAAATGATAGACTCAAAATTCTACACCAGACTCAATCCAGTTGAAATACAAACACATTGTACACAGTACACTGCTCCAAAATGCACTGTTGGAAAGGAAAGTAAAAATTCTACACCAGCCTGAATCCAGTTGAAATATAAACACATTGTACACGCTACACTGCTCTAAAATGCACTGTTGGAAAGGAAAGTAAAATAACAAAGCAAGAGGTAGTGTAATTCTTATTGTACCAGATAAGTTATTGCGAATGCGTGCACCGATTATGCGGCCAGTAACATCATCCTTGAGAAGTGACACTACTTCTGCATGATTAAGCACAGCTGCCCCAGCTAAAGCAGCAGAACATGCTATTGCAACATTGAGTCTTGAGTCATTCATTTGTCCATCATAATAAACCACCGTGCCCTTCAAAGTTTTCTCTTTCCCATTCCTTGCTAGAGTAGGAAATAGTTCTAGAGACTCCTGAGCAGAATAATATCTGGACACGTGTAGCAGGTGGCGGCCAGCAACCAGATCATACATTTTCAAGCCCATCCAGTAGTAGATCAACTCAAACCAGTCAAAACACGGCGTCATGCATGGCAAAGCATGGCAGAGGTGGGGAGCATTGTCAATAACCTGTTTGCGCTCCTCAAGTGCATGAAAAACCAACTTTAACTGCCCATAATCCAAGTTAAAAACAGCTTTCTCCAAATAGCGAACTCCTGTAAAAGATACTTTCTAATAAGCACCAAGGCTTAAATGCAAAAAATGTGCAATAATGCCCTGTTGATTCTAAAGTATAATAACAGAACTACATGAAAGTGGGGTTTTTTGGAAAAAGTTGTATAATATGTTCTAAACTCGTTAGAGTCCATTATGAGCTGCCATCATACATGATCAATGAATTTTTTCAAAACCTGGGAGATTGGTACAGGATAAATTGGGTGGAATTAAATCTGAAGAGTCATAAGCACCAACAAAAGAATATCAACTATGAGATGATTGCAATGATCGACATAGACTACTTAACTTACCAGTTACTATCAATAGAATGATATCATGCTCATGCTAGCCAATAATATCAAGACAGATGAGCAAATTTTCATAAGGTTTGTCAAAATTGTGCTTTGACCTGCAAGTAGCAAACATTTCCCATTTTGAAAAATCCAATGATTGAACTCGTGAGCTTCTAAAGTTCTTTAAACTTGAAATTTCTTGAATGATACTACAGTTACTGAACGCCTATGCTTGAAATATCGAAGTCCACTCACATCACATCTAGACCATGATGATAATTTCTGTACTCAAACTTAGATAGGCAGATCTAATAACCGAGAGATCATCATATGCTGGACAATTTGTAGCAACACATGAATTTAGGATGAAGACCTTCCAGTGCTTTGAAACTTAATGCATTCACCAATTCAGTTAAAAGCAATCTTATAAACACAAATATCACCAATTTCACTCAGATGAAATGCCCCTTCCCCTAAATATATGACAAAAAAGGGAAGTTCTGTGCCCACCCTCGATCATCCACCCTTTATATGTTGCTTCATTTACTGCATATGCTTAAACTGGCTCCGCATTTCAAACTAAGCTTAAACTGCGGACAACTATAATATAAACTCTAACCATAGCTCCCAACTATACTGAAAGACATTCTACATCTAGATTCAAGGTTCCCAAATACACTGAAAGACAGCATATCACATCAAGCACACTCACCACACAACTGTCTTGGCACTAAATCTTGGCAAAAATTGTCCTGTCTATAGCCACCAGGACAATGGAGCACGCATAAAATTGTCCTGACATCCTCCACAATGGAGCACGCATAAAATGCCGAGCTACCAAATTTCTCTTTTCTTTATCTATCTTTTCATCTTCACTGCTCTCTCAATGACCTTATGCCAATACACAGAAGCAAAAGATACTGCAAAAGTTTCTAATCACTCCTGACCTTCTGCATGATAGAGTAGGGTAGTAGACATCAACCACCAACTTTTAATGTTACCTCTATCTATTCTATCTTCAACACTATTACCTAAGCGACTAAATCCCAATACCTCAAGAGCAAAAAGATCAAGCCTTTCTGACCATAACTAGCAATTGAGCACAAAAAAGCTTATTTCCCGCATGCCACATGCATAGAAAGGAGATTTCAACGATGAATAAATACTATGCGTCCTTAACGATATATATATCATTAATCGTATTCCAAAAGATCAATCATTTTTTAGCAATTTATCTATATATAGTCAACTACTATGCGTCCTTGCCAATATATATCATTATCTGTAACCCAAAAGATCAATAAATTTTTAGAAATTTAACCATATATAGTCATTTTGCCAGACTTACCAACGATTCGTCTGAACATTACTGAATAACTGTGCACTTATTTAAATTTGAAATTCTAACCTCCATGAACTAATTTAGTAGACCTTGAAGAAGTCCCAGAGGAGAAGTCTTCGCGCTCGACAAGCCCAACACGAAGGCCACGCGTGGCAGCGTCGAGGGCGACGCCGGAGCCGGTGGCACCACCACCAACAACCAGTACGTCAAGAGGGTTGGCTAAACTCGCGCCCATAAGAGCTGACTCCTGAACGGCTCGGCAGGGGATGACGGCAAACGGGTCTGCAATTTTCTGCTTTACAATCTGTAAAGCAGAACCACCACCTCTGTCGTTCACGGATATTGAGGGGTCACGGAGAATAGTATATGCACCACCGGCTGCGAGGGCGACGGTTCCCAGCCGGCGGAGACGAATGGAAGTGGCCATAGAAAGTAGAAAGTGGCGGTGGTGGGACTAATTGGAGGGCCGGAGGAATGGAGTTAGTATTTTGTTTTCTGATGGAGCGGAGGAATGGAAGTTTGATTCGAAGGATCGATTCGGTTTACATATTTTGCGTTGGAATTCGAAAAGTGCTTTGGATCCTTGTAAGATGAATATTATATTTGCCAGAAATGACACTTCATTCATTTTTCTTCAAAAAGAGATTCAAAAAAGTACAAATAAATGAATGAAATATACCGGAACTTTGGAATATTATACTGCCCCTAAACAATTTTTGTATGAATTAATTTTATATATACTGCTAATGTATTAGGTGGGAATGTTCCAAAAAAGTCCCTATAGAAGCAAGTTGAAAATCGTCGAAGAGCAGATATAAGTTGTTTCAGAGGGATATCCTTCAACGATTAATTATAGCAATATGTTAATTGCACAACGTGTTAATATGTCTTTGTGTTAATTACATAACAAAAGTCACACATCAATTAAATGTGTTTATAACATCATTTCAGTAATTATATCAACACATAAATTTATATAAATTGTACTCAATGCAAAAACGGTCGTAAAATAATGTATTATTTGAATAGTGTATTATTTGAAATATTATTTGGAATAATTACTGTAGCACTTTTTGTGATGTGATGTATGTGAGATAAAAAGGTGGTTGGGAATATAAAAAGGTGGGTTGGAAAATGTGTTTATGATGCAAGCGAAATATTATTTTGGATAAGTTTTGTATCCAAACACTCCCAATTTCATATTTCAGAAATATCCAGATGTTTCCATAAATCAAAACTTTAAATGTACAAAAAATGAGGGTATTTCGTTAAATATACCTAAACACATGTTGCCCTTAGTTGTACCCAAAACTTTTAAAAAACTACATAACATTTCACACTTCCAAAAATCTCCTATCCATACGATTGAAATTCAAAACTCCTTTGACCACAACCCATTTTTAAATAGTATAAGGATATAATTTTGTTAAATTTCTCATATTCTTTTATCTTCAAGGAATAAATTCAAGAAAAAGGTGAATATTTGAAACCGATATTTAATAGTAAAACTCAAGATATCTAATACTTTACTGGACAAAAAAGGACAAAAATTGAAGGTAGTAATTGGAATACAACTAGTAAAATTATAACTAAATTAATGATTAGTTTACACCTTGATGCACCATATCCAGTCAGTCACTTGAGCGGGCTGAATGTGGTGAAGCACCATTTTAAAGAATTAGATGTGTCACGGACCGTATTGATCAGTAATTCACAATTTGATACCTTTTTCCAAAGGAAAAGCAAACGAAATATTCAATAAACGACTAATTTATAAAGAAACACAAATTAGTGCCATATGAGCGTAGATGCAAGGGAGAAGGTGATTGATTTTGCAATTCTTTAATTTTTTTTTTCTAATTGGACTGTCAGAGAGTGCAATGAAACTAATTGGAGGACAATTGATTTAAAATAAGAGAGAGAAAAAAAGGGATAGAGTCATTAATTTGCTAATGGACACTCTAAAATTTTGGTAGTGATGAATTATTAAAAAAAGGGAAAAGGACATATAAATCAATTATGGGGAGAAGGTAATTGATTTACAAGTTTTTTAATTATAGGAATCTAAGAAGGGAAACTATAAATTCGACTCAATGATTCAAACTAGCTATAAAGAATCAAATTTAACGGTGGCAACTGTAATTAACTTGCCAAACAAATTGGTCAGAGATTTGGAGTGACCAAATCATGAATTAATCATTATAGTTTAGGACCTTAGATGTATCATAATTAATTATTCTCTGCCGGAGACGCCAAACTGCAGAGGGCTTTATTGGAATTAAAGCTTGAGATAAAATCTCCCTCTACTTATCTAAATTCTCGACTTAAGCCCCCATCGCCGTTTGCCACTCCACCCCAGCTCCACTGAACATGGCGGCGCTAATGGCCGCAGTAGCTGCCGCCGCCTCCACGGTTTTCGCCACCCTCCACCTAACCAAACCCGCTATTCCTCTCACCCGCACCACTCACCGCCATCTCCGCACCATAATTGCCTCCTCACTCTCTTCCGCTCCCTCCACCACACCTGAATTCAACATCACCTTCGCCCCTCCCAAGCCCAAGCTCAAGCCCAAACCCGCATCCGAATCCGCCACTGAAACTCCGGGCCATGACTCAGCTAGCGAATTGGATGACCAACTCTACATCCCGTGGATTGTCCGCGACGAGAATGGCAACCTCACCCTCCAGTCTACTCCTCCGGCTCGTCTACTTCACGCGATGGGCAATGCCGAGACTAAGAAGAAGAAGAAGAAGAAAGAGAAAGACTCTAAAGCAAAGCCGGCTTCTCCCACAGCTGAGCCGAAGTTCTCCAAGGCTGCCCGCCGGTTTTATAATGAGAATTTCCGGGACCCGCCTCAGCGGCTTAGTAAGGTCTTAGCTGCTGCTGGAGGTAACAAAAATGCTTCACTGCTTATTTAGTTATTTAGTTCAGTTTTATCAAATAAATGAGGATGCTACGGCACGAGGCGGTGTACCTTGTGCTCTATTGGTTGTAAATTGCACTTATTTTGCTGTAATTGTATTGTTAAATTTAAAGCGTTTCTTATTATGAGGGGTGTGCTGCGTGACCGCAGTATCATTTGTCTAATGGACGCATTACTATTTCTTGAGACAATTTACTGTCTGATGATACAAAGTTTTAGTATACTTAAGCTGTCATACTCTACGGCGGCTAGTGATGTTTGTGGATGGAAAATGTTGAATTACATTTAATGTTTCTGTATGATTGGGTTTGATTTGACAGTGGCATCAAGAAGAAACAGCGAAGAGCTTATTTTCGGAGGTAAAGTGACTGTTAATGGTTCTGTATGCAATACTCCTCAGGTTAGACAGCTGCACTGTTAAAGAAGAAAACCATTTTTTTTTATGATATGGTTTCTTGTGATGAAGTATGGCATTTATTTGCTTGTGTGATGGATCAGACCAGAGTTGATCCTGTTAGGGATGTGATCTATGTCAACGGGAACCGCCTGCCCAAGAAACTGCCCCCAAAGGTCTATTTTGCGCTAAACAAGCCGAAAGGGTTTGTTATCAACGTCTATCTATGTAACTTGTCATTAGTATTTGAGACTTCAACGTTTGAATCATGCACTTTTTCTATAAGCTGAAAACAGTATAATCTTGCAGTTACATTTGCTCGGCTGGAGAGAAGGAGACGAAGTCCGTGCTGTCTCTGTTCAATGATTTTATGAATAGTTGGGTATGTTGGGCTGAATTGTTATGTATTTTGCGCTAGACATTGCAACTAAAGTGTTCTATATCCCTAAACTAATATGATGGCACCTCCAGCAAGGGCTTTATTTTGACATATGAGTATTTTTTGCATTTTTCTCAGGATAAAAGGAACCCTGGACTACCAAAACCACGACTATTTACTGTTGGTCGTCTTGATGTTGCCACAACTGGATTGCTTATAGTTACAAATGATGGTATTTTTTATTTTGACTCATTGATGTTACTAATAATGATGTTTATACGGTACTGGTATTTGTTGAATTACTTTTGTTTTAGGGGATTTTGCTCAGAAGCTTTCACATCCTTCTTCTAAATTATCCAAGGAGTAAGTTCTTGTTGATATTTTTGTCCATTCTTTGAATGGGATTCTTGCTTTTCATGTCTTATACTTATTTTAGAATTCATTCTGCTTTCCTATCGTTTGATTCAGTATTAAAAGAGTAAGTTTCAGCAGTGGTCAAGCATTCAACATTATGTGCTTACTTACCTGATATACTGAATCTTACTGAAATGTATTGCTATAGATATATTGCAACTATTGATGGTTCCGTCAATAAGCGACATTTGATTACCATTAGTGAAGGGACTGTTGTTGAAGGCGTTCAATGCGCCCCGGATATTGTAGAGCTGCTACCGCCGCAGCCAGATCTGTCAAGACCACGAATTCGGATTGTGGTATTAATTTTTCTCTTCTGAGAATACTGGACTTATTTACAACTGTTAAGGAACTAGTCTATTCCTTTTTCTTTTGATTTTTGTTTTCTGCCTAGCATTTCCTGGTGTTCTTGTATAAAAGGCCTTTGCAGTTGTTTTCCTTTTCCTTTTAATTTCTTTCTCAAACACTGACAAGGTAATCTTTTATAGGGTGGTCATCTCCATGCTGTCATCACCTTCCTCTTTTCCCTCTTCCGATGCAATAATTATTAGAATAATGAGAAGAAGGGGGGAAATAACTAAAAGTCTCAAGTTATTGCTTTGTGTTGGTAACGACTCATGAATAAAGCCAAAAAAAAAACATGCTGTATATGTATTAAGTATATGGATGGCAGAAACTCGTCTACCTGTGATGGACTTCCGAGTCTGTTGTCCACCCAAAACTATGGTCCTGACTGACAAATAAATCATGCTTTTGTTTGATGAATTGTAGTCTCCATTTGTCATTCTGGCCTTTGTTGTGTCATTATTTATGCAGATAAGGAAAAGATAATGGATCAGACCTCCACTTACTTTTAATGGTGCAGGTTCATGAGGGAAGAAATCATGAAGTGCGGGAACTTGTAAAAAATGCTGGACTTGAGGTAGTTTTTGGTTTCTGAGATGTGTTTTAGCTTCTGAAAATGTTTCTTCTGCTTCCTATCTTGATTAATGGCTAATATGATGTTTCCTCTGTTTCTTCATCTGATTCTTATCTTGATTAATTGCTAAAATGTTCTGTCTTTTTCTGTCTCTCTGTTCTTTTTAAAAAGCTTTTGGTGTGAAATACTTGAATTCTCAACTAGTCAAATTTGGAAAACAGGTTGACAGGGATTCTGACCTTCCAAATTTCATTTTAATCTTTTAGACAGGAATGTGTAGTGGGCTTCTAATAAATGCTCCAATGGTGCTATCCCATTTCTTTTCACTCGTGGAGAGAAGTATTAAGGAGTGTTGCCCTTCCTTTTAAAATCCATCCTTGGACCTTTGCGCTTTATGAATTCTGATACTGATAAAGAATTGAGTTTACAGAATTTTATCTTCTGATCCTTGCCTTGCTCACTTTCGACATTCTTTTTTTTTTTTTCATTTTTCTTTCTGTAAATCTATTGTACTTCAATATTGTCAGTGGCAGTCTTGAGCATAGATCACTTATGTCTGTCCACTTATGTTCTTCTTGTTGTAAGTTTTATGTATGCCTTCCCTTTGTTGACTGTAAATGAATTGTTTTCTTACTCCTTTTCGTGTTTCTTCTATTTCAGATTCATGCACTGAAGCGCATACGCATTGGTGGTTTCAGGCTTCCATCAGATCTTGGGTAAGATAATTTTTGGCAACTTTAGATGGTTAGATTTCGTTGTTAGCCAAAAGATGCTTGTTCAGTCTGTTTCTTTTATCCGTTCCCTTTCTCCTCCCCTCCGTGGGCTAAGGCATGATTTAACCCTGAGGATCAAAAGACTTGTAACGCATGGTCCATTCTGAATGGCTAATGGTTTTGTAAAATTAACATTTTTTTCTATTACTTTCTGCTCCTTAGAAATGCTTGAGAATTGTGTGCTAAGCATCTGAGACCTTTTCTTTTGTTATTTGGGTATCTGGGATCAATATTTATGCATCTTTTTTCTCTGTACCCCGTTTTCTCTGATCCAGTGATAAAAACTTGAGTGTTTATATCAGGGAGTCTTCATTTCAAATAACTATAGGACACAATCCTTCTCCCTGCAGAGGGAGTAAAAGTAGCTTTGCTTTTCATATTTTCTTGGACAATGAGTTGCATACTGCTATTCCATTGATGCTGATTAAAGCTGTGCTTGATCTCTCCAGTAATACTAGAAGTTTGCTTGAATTAGCCATATATAAATAGATATTCTTGGACACTACGTGGTTTTCATGTTAAGGCAAAAGCTCTCGACTCTGGTGCTCTGGAGTTTGCTTAGTTATGTGCCCGTGTATTCTCTGCTTCTTTGGTCTATTGCAATAAAACAAGCACGATTTTATTTATTGCAGTAAATTGTTAGGAACTCCATCATCTCTATTTTGCATGAGGTAACTGAGCGGAAAGATTTTTAGCTACAAGACATTGTGAACTGTGTAACTCAGGGTAATTTTTCTGCTGACAGGATTGGAAAGCATGTTGAACTGAAGCAAGCTAATCTCCGAGCACTGGGTTGGAAGAGCTGAAACTGATTTCCAAAATGATGGAGCTTGCAGTTATTTTTGGATCGCCTGTTCACCTCAAAAGTTGAATGTGGACATCTGTCTTGTCTACTTGGCGGGAGTTGGTCTTGCACTGTTTAATGCTGAAACAGATGGAAGTAGAATTTCCTGCAGCTGCAAGTCAAGTTTGCCTGGGGTTCGGCTCGGGTGTCTAGAGCTTCTTTCAAGTGGAGAGTCCTTGCCGCGGGTCAGATGATACATGTTGAAAATTGTTTATACTTCTTATACCAGGAGTGGCAAAATATACCAGGACGTCTACCCAGTGTTGATATGTAAATGACAAATATCGACTCAGATTTCGGATGCAATGCTTGCAAGTCATGCATTTTGTAGCATACCAACCAAATGGCAAAGATAGTATATTATGATTTCGCACCACAACGGTAGATGCAGTGAGGATGATTCACCAGATTCTCGTTTAAGTTCATATCACCTACGGTGCAGAAACGAGTTTTATACATACAATCTCATGCTAGCAAATTTTTGCCTTGTTCCTGATGTCTGGGGCAAGCCAGAGAATGCACCATTTGGAAAAAAGAAAAAGAAGAAAAAGGTAACTTGAAGGTGTTCGTGAATGGCAAATTAGAAGGATGAGCAGAATAAGAAGGCGAAGATATTTGTGTGTGAAATGCATTAACGTGGTCAATGTCATCCTAATTGAAGAAAGAGATGACAGTACAACCTGTGTCGGCCGGCAACCCATGTTGAGGTTCACATGTTGTCCTACCTCTCTGTGTACTGTAGGGATACAACATGACGAAACATTTTGATTCTCAATGTAGTGTGCATGGAGTGAAAAGGACCTTTTAAGGGTAAAGATTATACTATCATCTTTGATTCACTAAGAAAAAAATTATCGTGACAGATTTGGCTTCACCAATTGTCAAACCTAAAAAGGGCAAAAAAAAAAAACCGCCTCATAGATCTGTTAATTTAGCTGTAACGATCGGCAGATGTAAAGTATCCATGATCGTTGTAGAATTTTGACTTCACTTACTTGAGACGGCTGAAAGATAGAAGTTGACAAATTTCAATGGAGGATGATGTGGGGAAAGCCAAAAGGTTGCCTTGAAGGGTAATCATGTAGCATCAAAATCATATATTGGTATCAAAGTCGAGAAGCGGTTCATTCTTCTCCTTTACATCCATTCCATTCATTCATCTGAATGTAAAAATTCCATCATATCATTATCAGCGCCGAGTAATGCCGGAGAAACAAACTGACTAGAGTCTACTGTAGAAATTGCAGTCATTAATCCCCCAAAATCATACTGAAACGCACTCATTTGGTAGGCAATTGGTTGCATTTGTCTGAGAACAGAACGTACAAAAAATTGTGTACAGTGTGTACTGACATATGGCCAGGCAAGGAGCGGAACCGGAATTACGCGGGAACTTAAAAAGCTTATTTTTATTCCATTTTGCAAAATAGTTAACAATATAATCCAATGGCAGTCCCTTTCGGAACTCTGAAGTATTAGTTGTATGATCTGTGACGAGATCTTCCTCCAATCGTGCCGGCCTCAACGACGCGTCCCATTTCTCCATTTTGTTTTCCCATTTTTCCAATATTCTTCCGTCCCATTTGTGAAACTGAAACCAACTTCTTCTTCTTTCTTTTTTCCCCTTTCAAATACTGCTTACTGCTGCTATGCAGAGTGGTAGAACATTATTGATTGATTGAGTTCAATCTTGCTACCAGGAATACCGATTGAATTGAATGGCGTCGTCTTCTTCGACTACTGCATCTGTGGGAAGGCCGTCATCGTCACACAGGTCGGAGAGGCCTCCTCTCTCTACTTCTGCTTCTGCATCTGCTGCGAGTAATGTGAATAGTTCAAGAAGTTCTCGTTCAAGTATTCCTACTTCATTGTCTTCTTCTACTAACGGTATTCCTACTTCAAGACGCTCTCGTTCCCTGACTCCCAGTTCTCGGACTCGTTCGCCTTCGCCTTTTTCCTCCTCTTGTCTTTCCAACGATCCGGGTTTGTTTTTCCATGTCTCTTTTCAGTTCCCTAGTCCTTTGTAAATCAGGAAATGATTATATAGTCTCTCAGGTACAACTCTTGATATGTACAAGCCGTAAAGCATCTTGTGCGAATACTTCAGTGACCGATTCCATACAGAGTAGAAGCCCTGTGAATTGTGACTGTATGAGTCCCGGTGTTTGCAATCCCTGGAATAATAATTTGGTCGATTTTTTGGAGTTTTGTTTTCTGGGTTTGTGTTATGATGTGCACTGAAACAAAGATCAAAACTTTATCGGAGAACCCCTTTTTCTTTTCCTCGTCCTCATCCCTGTTTCACGGGCAACTTGTTTGGTCTACAATGTAAACTTGTTCTACATGCTTAGCTGATAACTGGTGCACTGGTGGGACTCGAACCCAGGACCTTATTACTATCTACGCAACGAAACTGATTCAACAAGGGTTCATCTCCTTGTTCACCAGCTTATTTGATGCATGTATTTACTCTTTAAGTACTGCACTGTGGCCAGCAGTGCCAAATGTTTTCTAGCACGTCTTCTTTGGAATTACACGTTTGAAGTCGCTGAGTCAACGGAAATTATACTGTTTGAACTGTAATTTGGGAGAGGTCTTAGACTAATCTGCCTCATCATTCTTCTAGTTTTGCAGATTAACTTCTCATGATCTTCTAACTACTTATTTTGTGTTAAGGATGTTCTCTGGGGAAATTCCACTTGTTTTCTGCCTGAAGCCCTCATGCTTGTGGCACGTGGTTCTAGAGTCTTATTTCTGTAGTATATGAACAGGAAATATGGCCATTAATTTGAGGGTTGAATATACACCAGCGATCAGTAGTCTTTAATCTTTATTGCTTGTTGTAGAAGATCCCCTTAAGGAATCTAAGTTAAAAAAACGTAAATGTGAGCCATATAAAACTTGTATCTGATTTCAGTATGGGCACAATGCACATGATCCCTTCTTTGCTTGTTACTAGATGAACTCTATCATTTTTACTAGAAGTTTAGCAGCATAAATATGAGTACACAAGAAACTTCATTTAAACCATCTGAAGAAGGTGAATAACATCTCTGTATGTGGCCACGTGTAAAGATATCCTGGTTTCGAATCAAGCATTGATTACAACATTTACAGCCTTTCTTTTTTTAGGGTGTTTGATCCTTGGTCTGATATGAGATTTTTTTTTGGTTTATAGTCAGTTTGCAGCGTAAGAAATTGATTAAAAATGTTGAAATATCTGCAGAACCTGGAAGAGTAAGAGTTGCTGTCAGAATTCGTCCAAGAATTGCAGCAGATCTTTCAGATGCTGATTATCCTGATTGTGTTGAAGTGCAGCCAGAGGTGATTAATATGCAGACGTATGCAACTACGAGTCTATGACATATAACAAACATCCTTTTTGTGCTGATCATAAATACAAGTTATGGTTTTTAAGATGATTGCATTTCCTTATGTTTCAGCCACTCCCGTTCTTTGTCTGCGTTAGTTTATTTAACCGAGTGCAGGAATCGCTGTGTGTGCCTGTCTGCTTCATTGCTTCCTTCTCGTGGCTGTTCACCATGCACACTGTATATTTAATCCAAGAAGTTAAGATGTCTTTCGTTCTGCAGCTCAAGAAGTTAAAGCTGAGAAAAAACAATTGGAGTGCTGAGTATTTTAGGTTTGATGAAGTATTTGCAACAAGTGCGTCTCAAAAGCGTGTTTATGAGGTGGTTGCTAAATCGGTTGTTGAGGTAAGTATCAGCAGAGCGCAAAGCATCGTGGTTTTGGAATACATCCATTATCTGTTTGTGACTCTGTTTCTCTGATTTTTCTCCAATACTCAGTTCATTTTGCTTAAGAGAAAAATTGGAATAATTCATACTAAAAATGTATAATGTTATTTTAACTGTGAATTTAACTGAAAGGTGTAAAAGATGGAAGAATCAAGACTGCTTAGGTGATATGATCAATTCAGGAATAAAGAAATTAGGAAAGAAAAGGTTGCATGCATTTATTAGAAGTTTGTACCTCGGATGCTCTGCTTTTTATGTCTCGGCAGCAACTTTTTCAGCTTCATTCAATTTATTTCTCAGTTCAGTATGGCAGATATATTTTGTATTTTCTACCGCTGTAATTAATCTAAGAGTCTACTAGCACAAATATGCTTGCGAAGGAAGGTGAGAATCTGTATAAACGCTGTATAAATGCTGGACCAGCCAGCTCAAATAAAAAATAGAGAATGGGTATATTACTTAGCAGGTTTTGGGGCTTATGCCTCGATAAGGAGTTGGGTCTTTTTGGGGGTATAATACCCATAATCCTAGTCGTCATTGTATGAACCCCCAGCTATTGAAAACATCAGCTCATACATTATTCTTTCCAGTTCATAGCTTCTGAGAGAATTTGTATCGAAACTGGAAATATATCTTTTCAAAATATGGATACATTGGCAAAATTCATGTACTTTATATTTAGGCGAGTCTTTTTTTTTTTTTTTTTTATGCTTTCAGCAACTTATCTACCATACAGAATTGTGGAGGTATCATTGCTAAACATGCAAAAATTAAAGGGTAATTCTTTCCATTCATAAAAATTTTGATTTTTCTTTCTTTAAAGCAAGCATTTAAATTCTTGTAAAAGAAATGAACTTATTGAGATGATTGGAACAAGATATTGACACGAAAGAGGAGGTGCCGTTCACTTTTGCAGAGTGTGTTGGATGGATACAACGGGACAGTGATGGCATATGGTCAAACAGGCACTGGGAAGACTTATACCCTTGGTAGAGTGGGTAAAGACGATGATTCCAAGCGTGGTATCATGGTTAGAGCTTTAGAAGACATAACTACAAATACATCTCCCACATCTGATTGTGTGGAAATTTCATACCTTCAGGTACTGAAAATTATGGTGATGAACCTGTTAACCTGTTTGTTCTTTTTGTTGTTTCATTTCGGATACTTCCAAATATTATTGTTATCATTTCAGTTAAATTTTTTGATCGTAGTCTTTTATACTCTCAGACTTTGACTGTACACATTTGTCATCTTGGTGTTGAAATTTTTTTACTTGTTAAGTATTCAAACATGTTGGTCACACGACTCAATCCAATAGTTGATTTGCACTGCTAACCACTGAAGACGTTGTTTCACAGCTTTATATGGAATCTATCCAAGATTTGCTTGCACCTGAAAAGACAAACATCCCGATCGTTGAGGATGGAAGGACTGGAGAAGTATCAGTCCCTGGTGCCACTGTTGTAAAATTAAATAGCATGGACCAATTTGTACAACTACTGCACATGGGTGAAGCAAACCGTCATGCAGCTAATACAAAATTAAATACAGAATCATCACGCAGCCATGCAATTCTTATGGTAATTATAGATTGTAACTTTCCTCATCAATTTGGTAGTTCTTTAAAAATATTCGAGAACACATTTAATAACAAGGATTTTCCACTGCATTTTGCTTCCATATATTCTGTTTTAATCATGAAAATTTGTTTGTCCCTTTAGTAAGCTACTGACACATAACTTCTTCCCAAGGTATTTATCCGTAGATCTGTACCCGAGCAAGAAGGATTGGACATCTCTTTACGGGAAACAGAAGTAGATAAAAAAACAGGTAGACCAGGATATCATGTTCCAACAATTCGGAAAAGCAAGCTGCTCATAGTTGATCTTGCAGGATCTGAGCGATTGGATAAATCTGGTATATTCTCTACGCCAAAGCTGAATAAAGCTCTTTTCTTACTCATCATTTATCTTTATCTGTTTTCTTTTTCTTTGGACGACAAAATGATAGAACAAGGTTTATGGGTGTGTTTACATGGTCAAGTCCATACTCGGGGGCTCACTGGCTTGCCTGGTTGTTTCATCTGGTTGATTGCCTTAA